AAATAATCCACTTAATAATTTAAAATGAGGTTCCTTATTTGAAAAACAAAAGGTAGTATCATTATAACACACTCCTAAGTAGCATAAAAAAATCTCGAAAAATTAAGAATATAGATAGTGAGTATGCTAGATGAATTTTACTCTGTAGTTAATCTTCTGTTTCTTTCACACTATTATTTTTATTGTATAACTACAATAATAGTATAGTTAGTAGGTGTATATCATAATGTGAAATATGATATGTAAAAATAATTAAATCGACAAATACAGTGAAACCTCAATAATTTGAATCTGTTGAGGGAGAAAAAAATTCTAGTTATCGAAAACTTGACTTACGGAAAACCTCAATAGCATATATTGTATGGAATTCCATTGAATTGTCGAAAATTTGACTTATAGAAGTTCGAGTTATCGAGGGTTCCACTATAATTTTCTTCATTTGATCAAATTGTAAAATATTAAGTTATAATTTTACTTCTAGACACTGGAGCATAGATTCATAGCAATATCGTATACGATGGTATTTTTCCAAACACACCATTCTAGGGAAACACTATAAAATAAAAACTAGTGACTAATTTACTTTAATAACTCTTTCATACCGAAACTTGTCTAGTCTTAACTCACCAGAACAAATCTTTATTACATTATATAATATKTAGGTACTAGGTAKTAATAAAAGTGAGGAAAAGAATATAATTGACACTATAATTGATTGCTAATTCGGCCAAATACTAAGGTGTAATCACATTGATTTTTTTTTTTTGTATTTGTTCATTGAAACAACCTCTAGGTCTTCTTCAATGCTTATCACAAGTGGGTAGTAGGGAGATCATGTGATCTATTTAACTATGTACCTATATATCACTAWATACATGATGCTATCCCCCTTCTCCAAGAGGAGACATGTGCGGTCTTCACTCTCAGTGGAGTGGGACCTAGTTGGAAACCGGATGACGTAATCGGAAGACAGCGTGAGGATTCAATGATAACGTAGAACCACACAAATTTTTTTTTCACTTTGCTATGAATCGAACTAATGACTGTGTCAGTCGTAGTCAACTGAGTGACCACTGCATCACTCCGGCCCCCAATCAATAACATTGAAGAACATTTAAAATAAAAACCCCGTGTTAAAATTGTAATAACGCATGCACGTGAGGTAACGATAACTAACAAAAAATCTAGATTAGCTATCTAGTTAACACTAAATAATGAAATATGGTCAATTTAAGCCATAAAAAAATTATTATTTTAATATCCTAGATATTCCAAGTCAAAAAAGCGGGCTGTCACTTTGCTGTTAGCAATTCACAAATGGGTTGCTGTAATGGATGGTATTAATTTTGTATGCTAGGTATGATATTATATCATTGTACAAGAAAAATGATTTTGAGTGGAGACGTTTTGTCTTCCTAAAATATTTCAAGCTATATTAATAATATTGTTATTTTTTCAAAAAAAAAAAATGTAGTAGGTACCTATAAAATAAATTCAAAATTAATTGAATCTGATTCACTGTGTACCCTACTTACTCAGTCATTCATAGTATATAAAATATGTTATTCTGTATAAAGTATTCATATGTCATTAACGACATTACTATTACAATTATTTTGTGAAGTATACTCTAGAAATTTTCTAAGTTTTTCCTTAATTTTTATTTTGTTTTTCCCAGCGCTTATTAAAACTACGGGGAATTTCAAAATTTAACCTCCCCAATGTATGAACTAGATTTACTTTCCAACCCGAAAAGCTACAAAAGTTGAAAATCGAAGCATGATTTCGACAACTTATCGTATACATACACAAAAAAAAAAATATATGTATATAAAAACACATTATTGTAAAAACAACACATTCATCGCTTTGCTCAGAATTTAAAATGATCTAATTTGCATTAGATCAGTCTGAAATAATGAAGGCGTGAAATAGTTATACGATGCTCAGCATGTAATAATGAATAGGAACCACTTAGTAAACATAACAAAGTAATAATGAAAATTTATTATAATCACAAATGATTAATTTGAAAACCAAGAGCATTTGATTAATTTGTATACAATAAATTATCATTCATGAAAATCTATACAAATAAAAAAAAGTACAATTCCATAATAATATTCATAAAAAAAAAGTAATATTTGTCTAATATAAGAGAAATCAAATCAAATTGATGAGAAATCATGTGTATTGTTAGTATCGTTTTGTTAACAGCGATGTACAGAARAACGTCAGTTGAAATAAATATTGTATTAATTGATTATTGTAGTAATGAAAAACTCTTCACTTCAATCAGAACTAGGGGGAAACAACTTATAAATGAAAATATT